CACCCCCCTGGCCTTCTTGTCAGTTATTGGCTGGAACAGTTTGTTATGTTGTTTCGTGGAGGAGTTGCTGCTGTTTGTCTTTGTTGCCATTTGTGGAGCCTGGGTTGTCTGGATAGACAGCGTTTTTTACAGAGTGTTTAGGGGACAGGCAGCTAGTGGATAGTGAGGAGATGTTTGCTGTATGTGACAAAAAATGTTTGGGCCTAAAAAACGTGTGGCATCGCTTAGAGCAGGGGTTCCCAACCTTTTTTGTGCCAGGGACCGGCATATTCATAAAAAAAATTCCAGGGACCAGCTGTCAATTTGAATACCTCAATTTTAAGATGCATTGTTTGGATTCGGAACATATCACTGTGCAAAACAGTAACATATAATTTATAATTTATATAATTTATATTTATTTGCATATAAGTTATTTGCATATAATGAACTAGGTGGCAACAAAGGCTCCTTGCATACCAATCTTTTTAAACTTTCAGAACGGTTCACAAAAAGTTTCTCTTCTCTCCCATTCAATTAGGTCTACTTCAAAAGCAACTCACATAGCACTCACTCACTAGCAGGTGCATATACGTTGGAACCCCCACCCCCGGCCGCCCCCTAAATTCACATAAGGATTCAATAAGGATTATGCATTAACATGCATTGTGTATTATCATGCAATTTATACGCGAAAATTTGTTTTTACGTGCATTTGATACGCAGAAAACTTAATAATTGGTCAGAATTATGTCTGACCCATTCCAATTGTTTTCCGATATATGGTGACCCAAGCACTGATGGACCAAAGAGCGCACATTTCGACATGTGCAGTAAAAACTTTAAATATAAATTCTCAGAAAATGCATTTTAATACTAATATATTGAAAAGGCTGTTTATATACTCCATTAATAAAGGAGTTCAGACAAAGGAAACATATCAGTTGATATGCGTTTTTATATTTAATATGAGGGAAATACTGTAGACATGCATGCGTGACACAAAAAATCTTTAAATTTTAGGTAGCAAAATATTTTTTAGAAAATTCCACTAGACTAACATCACTCATAAATCCTGAAATTTCACACATCTCTTGAGTTTTATTAAAAACTTTTAACTTTTAGGTTGCTAAATATTTTTAGTAATTCTCTCAATTACACTAAGGTTAGATTTCATTGAAGGTAAATTGGACACTGACGCCCAAAGACGTGAAGTGAACAAGACAGAGGCTGCCCGGTACTGTCAGAAATAGTTAACTCTGTGGCGATGCAAGTGCAAAACTAATCACAAAGTCAACCAGGATACATAACACAGCCTACTAGGCCTATAGAAACAGTTTCAGAATACAATAGCAAACACACCGTGATTTGGATGTTTGGTGAAGTGCCGCTGCAGTTTTGACGGCTTCATTGCTTGATTGGAGAGTCTTTCACCACAAATTATTACACACAACGGATTTGACGCCACGGAAACGCCTGTTGGCGTGAATCAATACCTAATGTATGAGGTATCGTATTTATGATTGAAGCTTGACTTTTTCTTTTTCTTTCTCTATATTTCAAGTTAGTCATCGCCTTTCCTTTTACCGGAACTGTCCGCAATGAAATTAGCCATTAAAGTCTGCTGAGCCCGCTCATCTCTCCGCATACTTTTGTCACTTCAGCTGCACGCACCCATGCACACACCGCGCTCAGTCTGTTTAGATATGACGCGTTGCTAAGCAATCGGAAGACGCTCTAAGAAACACGTTTTAATATTTTTGCTTATTTGTATTTATTTATTGTTTGTGTTTTGGATTAAATAACATGACACGTTAAAAAGCATCTTAAAAAGACAAATATTATTATGGAAAAAAAATAAAAAATTCTGGGAATATGTGTTCACGGACCGGCACCGGTCCGCGGACCGGGGGTTGGGAATCACTGGCTTAGAGCACATTTAATTAGTTAAATGTCTAAGTAGAGGTGTAAAGTCCTGGTTCAGAAAGTAAAAGTCCTCCTCAGTATTTTAACACATTGATTATGAAATTAAACCTTTTCAATAATTTACCCACACTTTGAATATCAAGTAGCCTAGGCTATTGTTTAATTCAATTCAAATTATTTCTATTTCACTTTTCAAAATTCAGGTTGCAAAGTAGCTTTACATACATATAGAAAGTAGTTATATGTAATTATGACAAATAAAGAAAACAATATATAGTCCATTTAAAATGAAAGAAATTGATGTACCTGATTCCTAATACACTCCAATACCTACTGTAATGGTACTTAATAGTACTTTAATGGCTTGCACTTTGAAATGTGGACTGCAGCCCTTTGGGCTGTCAAAACAAAATAATTACTCATTACTTATTCATTACTTATTAATTAATTGTTAAACAAATAATTACAAATTATGAACAAATTATTAAAATGATCCTGGCTTGTCCTCAAAAATTACACAAAAAGTAAAAATGTAAAACAAATTCACCAACATTAACTGCATAAAAAGTTACAATGTAAAATGTATTAAAATAATTTCAATTCATGCGTCACATTTACATCCACTGCATAATGTGAGGAATCGTTTTACTGCCTTTCAGGAGCAGTCTTCTGAACATTGAGATTTGAAGCGCGCAGAGACAATCGACGGATGGTTGGTTTTATTCCATCCGCAAGCACTGAAACACAAGCTCTGCATGGTCACATTCTGCCACCAACAAACAGAAATGTCTGTGTTTTAGTGTGTGCACAAGAATAAATCTCATGTTAATGCAATTGCTTCCTGCAACGTAAATGAAATATCGTGTCATGTAAATGGAAGCAAAATATTCTGGTGATGATATTTAATGTTGTGTCTGATGGCTTTATTTCTTCAATAGCTTCAAGTTCAATGCGCTTTCGTGTTCTATACAGTTTCGCGTTTATTTTCACACACCACTAATTGCACCTACAGTATATCCAGACTTTTCTCTAATGTTCTCTCTGGATATTTGAGTAACTGGTATACTGGGTGTATCTGTAGAAGGCTGTGCCTTTATTTATAAAGATTACTTTATTGTATTTGAAGCACATGTAACACTTTATAATAACTACATGCTAATAATCATTAGTTAAGCATGAGTAAACCATTAATTCATCATTCATAATAAGCAGTTCATAAATACAGCTATAAATGCTTTCTTCTTGATTTAAAAGCATATCTATAATTTGTTTAATAATTGTATTTTCATCCTTTATTAATGATCAATTTATCATTTCTAAATGAAGAATTGCATTTTTTATGAACCAGTTATTTGAGAGTTGTCAGTGGTTCGTAAGATTACTTAGAGCGTGTAAGTAATTGATTAATAAACTATTTAAATGTACATTCATACATCTTATTATTCAGACATATAGTGATGGTTACTTAAAGGACAACTCCGGCGCAAAATGAACCTTTGGTCTAATTACACATTGTTACCTAGTCAACCGTTATCTGAGATTTGTTTTCATGATTGCCGAATGTAAATAGTTTTATCTCTAAAAACAGTTTAGCCTATAACGCTAGTATAACGCTAGTATATGGGGCATAGAGTAATGACAAATAAAAATCGCTTGTTATTACCACTAAAAAGGCTCAAAATAGCCCCACACTATCACGACAGCATAATAAGGGTCCCTACATTCAAACCGAAGCATTGAGAACGGCGTTCGTAGATCGACTGGTAGAGACTATTTTTCAAAGATGGCTTCTTCCTGTATTCGCGAAGTTGACTGTGTGTATAAAATATCTTCTTATTAAACTGTATGGACACTGACAAAGTTCTCAATGCTTCGGTTTGAACGTAGGGACCCTTATTATGCTGTCGTGTTAGTGGGGGGCTATTTTGAGCCTTGTTAGTGGTAATAACAAGCGATTTTTATTTGTCATTACTCTATGCCCTATATACTAGCATTATACTAGCGTTATAGGCTAAACTGTTTTTAGAGATAAAACTATTTACATTCGGCAATCATGAAAACAAATCTCAGATAACGGTTGACTAGGTAGCAATATGTAATTAGACCAAAGGTTCATTTTGCGCCGGAGTTGTCCTTTAATGGTTACTAAATGCTTTATTAACATGTATTAATGCTGTAATTCAGGGTTAATTTGGGTAGTTATAAAGCATTTAGTAGTGGTCAGTTAACTATGTTCGTGAGCTAATCTAAAGTGAGGACTATTCATGCCTTGTAAAGCATTTTTAAAGGCTGTTAAATATTTCTATGTTCTGTATCACTGCGTTATGTTTGTTTACTGTTTAGAAGATTGACGAGTCTTTAACTTGCCTTTATAAATGCTTTACAAAGCATGAATAGTCCTCACTTTAGATTAGCTCACAAAAATAGTTAACGGAACACTACTAAATGCTTTATAACTACCTGTATTTACTTAATTTACTTACACTTTCTAAGTGATCTTATGAATGACTGACAACTCTTAAACAACTGGTTTGGAAATAATGCTATAATTCATTTAGAAATTATTAATTAACAAAGTATGAAAATACAATTATTAAACGCATTATAGATATGCTTATAATATCTTAAATCAAGAAAAAAGCATGTATAGCTACATTTATAAACTGCGTTTTAATGTCTATTAATGTTTTATAAATGATGAATTAACTGTTTACTCATGCTTAACTAATGATTAATAGCATGCAGTTATTATAAAGTGTTACCGAATCACAAAATAATGATGCCATTAGCAAACTTAAAGTTTAGTATAATATTAATGTATGTTCAACACTCTTGCAGTGTAATTGAAAAATATATATAAAACAACTTTATTTGAATAAATGCATTTGTACCAATTTAAATGTAAAATATACATGTAAAATGCATTTAGTACAAAATTAGTTCCAATTTAACAGAATTTAAGTATACCAATTTATAGTGGGCCACACTAGTTATACTAAAGCACAATTAGGGTAGACCCACCAGAAAAACAAAATGACTACTGCATGTAATGTGTTTGTCAGATATGATCATTTCCTGCTCCTCCCAAGTAAGTTTCCTGTCTTATTGTTGATGTAGATTGCTCTAAAAAAAGTGCTTTAGAACGGCAAACAACTTCTCAGATCCATTGTGTTAGTATTAGCATTCCAGGATTTGCACTCCAGACTAATATTTTCCATGCGTACGGCTGTTTTATTTCCTGGAGACTGGGATTTTCCTGAAGAATGAAATGGAAAACTTTTATGGGCAAGTATCCTGAGTGCCATACTTATGTGAAAGTACTCTTAAAGGGATTTTCTGTCAATAACAAAAATTTGCAACAAAGACAGAACTGATTTCAAACCATGGATGTTTTAAACTCAGAGGATGGCAGCAATTATGAGGACTATTATAATGCAGAAGGACTTGAAGAATATGGACTCTGCAAGAAGACACATCTAAAGGAATTCAGCAATCTGTTTCTAACTATATTCTACTCCATTACCTGTGCGCTGAGCATTATTGCTAATTTAATCCTCCTAATAGCATTCATCAAACACAAAACTCTGAGAAAGGTGTTGCCTCTGCACATGGTCATATCGGATTTTATTTTTTCACTGAGCCTTCCGTTTTGGGCAGTGTATGCCAGCAGTGAATGGATCTTTGGTGATCAAAGCTGTAAGGCAATCACATTGGTTTACACGGTCAGTTTGTATAGCAGCAATCTCTTTGTTGCTAGTAAGAGCTTACAAAGATTTATGGACCTTTTATGTGTTGTTTCTACCATCAGGATCTTCAACAGTCCAAAGAGGAATACTATCATGTGCATTTTGGTGTGGCTTTTATCAGTTTTGGCTGCTGCTGTTCATGTCAGCTTTGTTGAGACTCAAAAGGTCCATGAACTGAACATTTGCACTTTCAATTTCCACAATAAAGTTGGATGGAAAATCTACATAAGATTTCAGATGAACATACTTGGGTTTGTCATACCATTTTTAGTGCTCCTATTTTGTTCAATCAGACTACCATGTGTTTCTGTGGTAAGGAACAGATTCCAGATGTTTAAATATGAAATTGGATTCACTGTCATGTTTTTTCTCCTCTGGTTCCCATACAGTGTTGTAATTTTTTTGCATGCTTTGCAAGACCTTCACATTTTTTATACATGTTCCACTAACATAAACTTGGACTTTGCTATTCAGGTTACAGAATGTATTGCTTTCATGCATGCTTTCATAAATCCTCTTTTATATATATATTTAAACAAAAAAGTCTGGAAACGATTGAGAAATGCTTCCAAAACTCCAAGGGAGTATCTGCTTGAGGAATGCAACAGTTCATCAAACATGTCCAGTCAGGATGGTGCTATAGAGCTAAGGTCTGTTCAGCAATATCAAAACTATGACCTGAGCTTTTGTGCTGAACGACCAAATAACTTACTACCAAAGCCAAAGTAAAAGCTTGTGAAAAAATATCAAGCTTTACTGTGTATCTCAGTGTGTACTGTTTACTGTGTGTATCTCAGTATACCAACACAGATTCCACTCCTACTTACATATGGTTTATTTCTACATATAATTTTATATAAATACATATTTTTGCAGTTTATATTAGCTTGTTTTATATAATTTCTTTAATGACAAAATTTGTTGTTGAAGTTAGTTAAGTTTATTTCCACAAGCAATGGCTGATTCAGCAGTAATAAAACCAAACTCAAAATAATGTGTGTGTGTGTGTGTGTGTGTCTCTTTAAGATTCAACCATGTGAGGTGGGGGGAAAAACACTATATCAGCATTTTGTTGTCAAGCTAAAATGCTTATGTAATAAACAAGTTTTTCAGCAAAACACTAATATTGACAATGTAAAATACAATGTTTTTAACAAATATTGAGATATGCTGAATCAGTTCAACAAGTGGCCTTTCTCTGACATTCTTATCATAAAGATAACGGTAGCCTTGACCTTGCTTGTTTTGGATTAAAAATTACTCTGCTAGAAGCATAATTAAACAAAGCTCAATATTCTTTTCTTTTCTTTAAGAACTTCAGTATAAGTTTGCATTGTTATGCAACACACTGTTATTTTGTTTTATATTTTACAGATTTGTACATTCTTCACCAAGTTTTTTTTTTATAAATTATTTTTTTGACTTACAATAAAACACCATTTAAATTATTTTTTCTCAATAAATTACAAAATGGAAGGTCAAATTCATTCCTTGTTTGTGGTTTAAAAGTAGTGTCTCTCATAGCAAAAAAACAAAACAAAAAATAGCTGTATCTATAATGCAAAGTTCAAGGCCTAAGTCACTCTCAAACTTATGGAGGCAATCAGGGCCTTTATCAAGTTGAATGGCTAAGGCAGAAACAGTATCCAAATAGTGTATTTTTGAGAAGGTCCAATTTCTATAATTGTAAAATCCTTTTAGCAAATGTTTAGGTTTAAAAAAAAAAAAGGTCTAAACAAGATCTGTTACTTACAACACCCTCATGTTACAGTCCTTCGTCTGCACCAGTCTGTCTTCGTCATCTGCACTACACCTCCCAGGATCCTTTTGTCTCTACTCCCAAACTCACTCCCTCATCAGCCACCTGTTCCTTGTCTTGTTTCATCATTTTCACCTGTTTGCACCTCGTTTTGGTTGATTCCTCTGTGAATTTAGTTCCTCCTCATTCAGTCTGTCATTGTCGTCGTTGTGTATGTTACTATGTGTGAAGAGTGAGTTTCTGCCTGTTCCTGTGCTTGTTGATTGTTTAAAGTTAAGTAAAGTAATTGAATTAGAGCTTTGCCTCTTCGGTCTCCTTCTTCAACCTTCACACCACCACACCCCGTGACACCTCATCACACACCCCTTTGTCCATATTGCGGTTTTAGGGGAGTGAGCAATTGCCCCTAAAGGGCTAAAATGCAATGTTGTCAAATTGGACAGATGGTGAATTTAGAAAACGGTTTCTAAGGAGTTTGTAAATCATTTCAGATTGACACCCCAGAGTGTACCAGAATTTTGGTACTGATGTGTGAATAGTATCTTACCAGTAAAAAGACAGAATACCATTGCTTGTGTGAACAGCACATTTGTGTATTCACAGGAAAAGTAAAAAATCTGGTAATTTTACAGTAATTTACCAGGTTTAATGTGTAAAAGGAGATACAATATTTGAACTCTCCCATAAATTATTACACTGTTTCATTTGCATTACATTTACATTTAGTCATTTACAGGGACGTGCAAAGGAATTTTGAGGGGCAGTTGCTCTGACCTGAAAAAAGGGCATCCCTCCTCCCTCCTCCCCCTTCACAGGCGGAGGAATATATTCAGTTGAATTTGTCCCTTTCCAAACTGCCTTATCCAAACGCAATGCCTCATCTTATGGTCTTATTATTATCTATAAAGATTGCAAAACGTCAGAGATGAGACACATGAGAAAAAGAGTTCCTCATTTTATCGTTTATCGCTTCTAATAAAAAAAAAGAAAATGCTTAGATTTTGGGAAGAATATGGACTCTGCAAGAAGACATCTAAAGGAATTCAGCAATCTGTTTCTAACTATATTCTACTCCATTACCTGTGCGCTGAGCATTATTGCTAATTTAACCCTCATATTCATCAAAAGTCTGAGGAAGGTGTTGCCTCTGCACATGGTCATGTCGGATTTTATTTTTACACTGAGCCTTCCGTTTTGGGCAGTGTATGCCAGCAGTGAATGGATCTTTGGTGATCAAAGCTGTAAGGCAATCACATTGGTTTACACGGTCAGTTTGTATAGCAGCAATCTCTTTGTTGCGACTGTAGTAAGAGCTTGCAAAGATTAATGGACCTTTTATGTGTTGTTTCTACCATCAGGATCTTCAACAGTCCAAAGAGGAATAGTATCATGTGCATTTTGGTGTGGCTTTTATCAGTTTTGGCTGCTGCTGTTCATTGCGTAAAGGAAACAAGAATTCCGGTAGGGAACTGAATCGACTGCAGTGCCGATCCTGACCTCCCCATGGGGCCCTAAACAAAATTCTGCTAAGGGGCCCTCTACCTGATCTGTGCCGCCGTGAGCTATGTAAACCATTTGCCATTGCCACACAGTCAGGCCTGACATTTCAGTGCTCCCAATACAATCCTCTCTCCTTTAAACAAAACAGTCAAAGAATAAGTACAACAATATAGAACAGAATGAGGTTCAAACAAACAATATTTAGAGTATTTTTATAGAATGTTAAGATAACAAGTGAATATTAACGTAAACATAAATAAGAAGAAAATAATAAAGTATAACCCTGAGCTTTGGCTTTTGGGATTAACTTTGGTTCTCTCTACAGCCTGGGTATTTTCGGCATCAGTATGTTTTTATTTTTATGTCCAGCTAATCACATTTTAAATTCAATATAGCCTATAGATCAATAGTTAATCAATGTCAAATTGTCAATACATTGCTTTCTATCTTGCATAATTAGTGCAGTTGTTAGTTTTTAACTACACTGAGACTAGATAATCAGTGTCTGTCTTGTTTTATAATGTGTACTTTGATTGGGAGTGCCATCATTCACATGCATGTATTGTTCAGTATGTCTGGTCTCCATATATTTCTGCTTGAAAAATGCGTGTTTCATTTCGTGCACACGCATACAGTATGAACACACCATAACACATGCGACGCGGTTATGTTTTCCGAGCTGCAGTAAACAAACACGAAGGGCATATGGGTAGTTGTCCGGGCAACCTGAGCAACCCCCCTGTGCAAGTCTCATTTAACAGTTTTTTTTTCAGAGCACTTTAAAAATAAGGAACATCACTTCGTACTCTTAAAACTGCCATTTTAGTGTTGGGTATGGTTGGCTCTTTATAAATTGCTCGTTGTCCTTGTTGTGTTCCTCAAATACGATTAGGATAAAAAGCCTCTGTTAAATGACTAAATGTGAATATAAAGCAAACAAATAAATAAATAAAAATAAAATTTTTAAATTAGGTCATTCTGGGATGTGTTTCCCGAAAATATCGTTCGCCAAATATGGTCGCAAGTTCTGTCGTTATCAGCATAGTTCAACAAGTCGGTGTTTCCCGAAACCACCGTTCCATCAAACATTCGCAAACAGAATCGCAAAGTTGTGTGATTGGAACAACAGCTCTCAAGCTGTGGTAAGAAGCATAGTTTATAAATTGCATGACGTGGAATTAATAAATCAGTATCTTGAGCAAAATATGCAAGCTGACATTCAGTACAACCTGTGTCTTTTATTTAGAATACATACAAATGTGTTAGACATCTTTGACATCGCAAGACTGTGCATGTGCGAACATGCTCTACTATGTAAGAACGAGCCTATGATTAAAGGGACACCATGCAGGAATTCCGTATTTGTCAAACAGCGACCCCTAGAGTCGCTGTGGAGTGCTTGTATGTAACGTTACTGTCGTAAATACCACTCATGCACAGCGTGACGTGTTACATAGTATACAATAGTACATTATGTTTAATTTGTTGTTTAATGAGATCTAATATATGTTGTTAGTGGTGAGAATTTTCACGTGATTAAATGCATAGATCCAACTAATATCCCCATGAACTTGGTCCAGTGGCAGAACTTTTACCAAGCGTGTCAGAGGTTCTAGGTTCTAATCCGCACTAGTAGTATAGTTTAATTTCCTCATCAAAACCGATTGTTTATTAGTGGTTGTATATCAAGCAGGGACATTTTTGTGCATTAGGTTTTGGGATTTCACCATAACAAATGTAGTTAGTCTCTCGGTCTACGCATCGGATTGAAGTGCCTGTGTGAACTGAAGACTGTGCACCGCGTCACAACAGAGTACTGTAACGCAGCGGCAACGAGCACTTTGGTCACTTGATTTCAAAAACAACACATTTCAGATCGCCTCTTACCATTCAACCTGAAATAAGTCAAATAACCATTTCAATAACTCCGAAGCTGTTCAGAAAGATCTAAAATTACATGCTAATATTTTATCTTCAATGTTTAACTAAATAAAACTAAAATTAATAATACAAATGTTTAAGGAAATTGGAACTTAGAAAATTCACTAAACTGTACTGATTAATATGTCTGTTATTCTTCAGTGCTCTGTAAAGGTATATAAATTCAGGTATTGGTAGACATTTAACAACAGGCAATGGATCAAGGTAACCTTTATTGCACCATCAAGGTTATATATATATAACTACTGCAACAAATTCTGTTATCTCACTGATAAGAATAGCCTTGATCCTTCCCCTTCAACATCATGACATATATCAGCAGACTATGATGTAGAAGATAGACATTTGACTATACATAGACATTTGACTATAAGCAAAGAATAGTTTATGCAGGTTTTAGATTATCTAAAACCTGCATAAACTATTCTTTACTTCCTTCCCAATAACTGTAGTGAGCGAATGATTAGCATTAAATGATTGAACTATTATTAGTTAATAGATTTATTAATGTTTTTTGCTTAAAATTTGAAATCAAACCCCAGCTTTCTTTTCACATACTATTTGTAACATTTCAGAAAATAAATTATTAGATTTATAAAAATTTAGTACATCTGGGCATTAGATGTATTTATTTATTTATTTTCATTTCGGGAAGCCCTAATCTTATACATTAGGGCAATTTAATAATGTGTTTCCCCCAAAATGTCAAATTGTTTAGGCAAAATGTCGATAAACTGATAATAATTTATCTGAATCATGTCAACTTATGTTTTACAATATAGCACAATGAACATACAAAAAGGAAAACACTGAATACACAGAAACAATATTGTAAAGAGACCCTATATTAAGAGTCATTCCCTGCACTACAGAAATTGACAAGGAGTCATGTGATTTTAAATGACTGCAGGGGGTGGGGCCTACACACAGCTGCCAGGAAAGAGGAATTAAAAAGAGAGCATAGCGTGGCTACGAGAACGCCAAAGACCTTGAACGCCATGGGCAGCCTTTTTCAAATCCTGCTTGCACTTTTTATCTCTGTTATAGGGGCCCTCTACCTTTTGGGGTCTTTTCGCCGCAGGCGACCTGGAGAACCCCCTCTGGATAAGGGACCTATTCCGTGGCTTGGTCATGTTCTGGAATTCAGGAAGGACACAGCCAAATTCCTGCAGAGAATGAAAGAAACACATGGAGATAT